CCTGGCGAGGGCCTGGCCCCAGGGTCCAAATCTCTAGCGCTTAGGCAGGGGCTGAGGTCCTGGGCTCAGATCCTGGTTGAAGTGTGCAGGTGGAGGCCGGCAGCTTCTCTGCATCACGGGGACTTCCTTTGCCTAGCCCAGACAGTAGTGTGAGGAAGAGTGTGTAAGGGGGCAGCCCCGAGGCCAGCATTCCAGGGAGGTACAGGTAGGAAGAGCACTTGGTTCCACCTCTCTTGGCATTGCTGGGCAGTCAGTGGGCTCCCCAAAGGCCCTCCACCGGGCCTGATGCCTTCACACCACGAAATGGGGGGGGGTTCAGGCTTCCTGTGGGTTCCACCCAGCGTGCCTTGTCCCTCCAAGTAGCCTGTTCTTCCCCAAGGGCACAGAGAACCCCTCTTCATGGCCTGGGTTTAGGCCCCTAAGTTCCTGGGACCTTGGCCTACCCTGGCTATCCGCCCTGGACTGGCAGCTTAAAGGACGCCTTCTTTCCTGTAGCATGTCCCTCTGTGGCCATCCCAAATGAGGACAAACCTTGGCCTTCCTCCGTTCAGGGGGACTGTCACCCACTGGCCTCAATTGCACCTTGAACACAACCTCGGCTGCCTCCCGGCGGCGGCACTAACCAGGCTGCTGCTTCCCCACCTCCTACTTCCTTGCTCTTGAGAGGCTTGTTTCAGGCCAGCTCCCTGCCCCTCCACCACACACTTGTTCCCAGCCAGGCCTGCGTTTGACTTTTTTTTCTTTTGAACTCCACCGGGTGGGACTCGGGTTAGCCAAGTGCAGGAAGGCTCCCTCCCCCCGGCCCCCCGCCGGGCAGACCCAAGCAGGTAGGCCCCGGGACTAGGGCCTGCAGCTCTCAGAGCTCAAAAGGTTGGAATCACATTTCTAACCCCTGACCTGAAGAACTGGCACTTGGGAGGATTTGCACTGAACAGGGCTCAGCGCACCGCTGCGGAGGAGAAGCAGGGTACCACTGGGCCCAAGTCGCAATCTTGGGGCTCAGGAATTGTCTTCATGGCCCCTGGGAATTTTCTGGGCTCATAAACGTGACCACCCCGCTGCCGGGTGAGCCACCTAGCCGCAGTGGGAGCCCCCAGTTTCTCCTAAGGGCGTTGGCCATTGAGCATTTCGATGTGTCGCTCCACTGCTCCTCAGCCCACTTGTCCTTCTTTTGTTTTCAGAGATTTAAAAAAATCCCAGGAAAGCGGCACCTCCCAAAAGTGGGAGCCTCTAACTGGCCTAGGGGGTTACTTTTTTGCGTGACTCACTCGGCTAAGTGAACCAGGTACCTGCGAGGGAGCGGAAGTTTGCTGTTGCTTTTCAGAGGTATCTGCAACTCCTCAGAGTGGGGTAGAAAGATTTCTACAGTGTTACCTTCTGCAGAATTTTAGCTCCTCCGCTGGGCGCCAGCTTTTCCGCCCTTCAGTCTAGCGTGAATACGGTCCGGCCGCACACCCTGGAGTGCGGTCCCTCCTTCCCGCAGGAAGGAGCCCCTGTGTGCGCCGCTGTGGCCGTCTCTCCGGCCTCCTCCCGAACCGCGCAGACCTCGGCTCCCGGCGCTTGCCGGAGAGCGGCTCCTGAATCCCTTCTAACTCGCGAATCGCGGAACGAAGACAAGCACAGGTTTTGAACCGCTCCTGTAGTCGACTCTTGAGGGGGCAGAACTCACCAGACACCCGGACAGAAATATTTGCAGTAGGAATAAAGTCAGGTAAAATGCCGGGTACAGCCACCCCGCAGATGTCCGAGCAGTAGGTCCTCCGTGCGCCCTTCCCCTGAACTTCTTAGGGGGAGGACAAGACAGACCCTTTGGCCTGGCCAAACTGATCAGGCACATATATGAAGATATTTGTCCTCTGGACAGTGGGGTGGGGGAGTAGGTGTGGGCAGGGGAACTTGCAACCACAGCGGAGGTCAGCATTCTTGGAGAATGGCGCCGGGAACTACCGCAAAGCTCTGGCTTCTCAAACATATGGCCCTGCCCTTTCTCCCTCTGTAAATAACATGTGAATTACAGACTTGCTGCTACGCGGACATCAGTTCTCCCTAAACCGAGTCCCCGGTTTTGCCTGGGATCCGCGTTTTCTTCCCCCTCTCTGGCTCCTCGCTGCCAGTCCGTGTCAGGCAGCAGCCAGGTGGGGCCTGGCAAAGTTTTAGCTTTAGACCTTCTGGCTAAGATCTGCCCCAGATTCGGCCCAGCTGAAGCGTTATTTAAGCCCCTGCATTCAGGTACATACTGTGCTTGGTGCTGATTTGGGAAGCCTCCCTTCCTTTTCTCCTACGCCACACCCAGTCCACAGAAAAGGGGCAAAGAGAACTTGGAATTGCAAGGGCCAGGTTGACAGTGTCCCTCTCCATCTGTCCCATTCCTAGGACGACCTGCAAGACTAGTCCCGTTTTGAGGTCTTGGTATTAAAGGGGGTGCGTATGGTTAAAAGAACACCGCAGAGATCAGGGTTCCAGGCTGTGCCACGCCGGGCCAGAACCCTGTTTGAGTGTCCGTGCAAGGCAGCGCGGTCGCAGTATGCACTCCGCATAGCCCGTGTTGCGCGTGATGGGCTGTCGCTACGATGTGCAGCTCATTGACACTGATGGATGCGCCAATGGTTGGACGGACAGATGTTAGGGCGGATCGCACCGCGCGCGGCGTCTGAGCGGGGGAGGGCGAGGTAGCGATCCGGCGGTGGCTGCGGGGGACTCGGAGACCCGAGCTCAGGCCGCGGCCCGCAGGGGGAGGGGGTGGAGGGAACGAGGTTTGGAGAGCAGCGCGGGGAAGGAAAGGAGGAGGGGGAGCATAAGCCAGGGCGAAACTCTCAACCTTCCGTGCGCGGCGCCCAGCGCTGTGCACCCATCACTACCGGCGCGCTTAAGTGGGCGCTCCGCTTTGGGAAGGTGAGCCGGGGGCAGGCAGGAGCTGACCTCGCGCGGCGCCTACCCTCCTCCAGGCAAGAGGCTCCCAGCGCCGCGACCAGAACCGAGAGGCCGCGGGCGGCGTTTGCCAACTCACCGTTTCCTCGTTCGCAAGAAGCGTTTCACGCCCCACGGCCGCGTCTCCCGGGCCTGGAGGGGCAGTCTCTCTAGCCTCTGTGGCCGCAGGCACCAACTGCTCGCCGCGCCCCCGCCCCCGAGTCCGCCACACACACGACCAGCCCCGGAGCCCAGCCGCAGCCTGACTCCGACTCCCCCGCAAACGCCCGGGGTCCGCACCCCGCAACTCCGAGCGCTCCTGCGCGCGCGAAGGCGCTGGAGGCGGCTTTATAGCCCGGGAGGACGGCAGCGGCACATCTGCATTCAAGGAGGCGTCTGGACTGAGCCCAAGCCCGCAGGCTGGGGGCGAGCGGAGACTTTTGATCTTACCGTCTGGGTGAGATCACGGTCTCCTGGTCTAAAAGAAAAGAAAGCATGCCTGTGAACTTTTAAAACAAACTTGCATAAACAACCACAAAGAAAAAAGATAGAGAAGGGGCAGAAGAAAAGGGGAAAAGAAACACAAGAAAAGGAAATATTAAAAAAAAAAAAAAAGGAAGGAAGGAAAGAAGGAAGGAAGGAAAAAAGGAAGGAAGAAGGCCGGGGTTTGCAGCTCCGGGAACGCTCAGGCAGCCAGTCCCAGGGCGCGGGGCTCTGGCCCTCGCCGGGACTATCTGACGCGGGGCCCAAGGGAGCCCCCGGGCCCCAGCCGGCGCGCCCAGGAGCAGCGCCACCTCGGGGACCGTGGGTCTGGCGGCCGCCCCCGCACCCCCACCACCACCGCCCGGCAGCGCCCGGAGCCAGCCCCGCCGCGGCCGCCCCATTCCCGGCCCAAGAGCTGGCCCAGGGAGACGCAATCGAGCCCGCAGCGCATCGATGCGCCGCCGCCCGCGCCGCTCCGGCTCCCGCTCAGCCGCCGCCGCCCGGGGGTCGTCCCAATGAGCTCCGGCCCACCCGCGCCCTCGCGGCCGCCCGTAAGTGAGGCCGCGTCGGCCTGCCGCCAAGGCAGCCCCGCCAGCTCCCCCTCTTCGCGGCCCGCTCGGCGCCTCGGCGACCCCAATCACCCAATCAATAATCAATTCTTTTCGCCCAGTACTGCTGGCAAGCCCGGCGCTGGGCGCGGTGGCCCCCTTTCCGGGGCGCCCCGGGGCGGGGGATGGGCTTGGGAGCCCGAGTTCCTTCCCCCGCCCCCGTCCCGCCCTCGGTTCTGCCAGCCCTAGGGGTGGGGGGCGCGGCCCGGCGCCTAAGGGGCGAGGGACGGGGTGGGGGTGGAGGGACCGCGATCTTCCCAGGCAGAAGAGGAAACTTGGAGGCACCCTCTCCCACGCCGACCCCCGGGACGGGCCCGGGAAAGTTTGCCCGGGAAAAAAAAATTGGGGGAAGTGGCGGCGGCGGGTCCCGGGGGAGGAGCCCGGGTGGCGCGGGGTCTGAGAGTAGCCCCCACCCACTCCGGCCCGCGCCCGCCTCCTCCCTCGAGGGCGCCGGCGCCCGCCCGCGGGCCCTGGCATCCCCGGGGGGGCGCGGGCCCAGGCCCGGGGAGCGAGCTGGGGGCTTTGGACGCGGCGGGGTGGAGAGGAGTGCGGCTCGGGCGGGGCAGCGGGGGGCGGCCAGGGGGCGAGGCCGGGTGGGGAAGCCGGGCGGGCGGGGGTAAGCGAGCGCCCCGGGACGAGCTGGGCCGGGCCGGCGCCGCGCCCCTGCGTGCGCGCACTGGGCGGGGGCGGAGGGGCGGCACCCCCTCCCCGGACGGGGCGGGGGTCCTAGACAGGCCCGGGGCCGGGAGCGGGGGCGCCGCGCCCCCGCGGGCGGGCGAGTGACACGATCATCTCCTTTTCCTTTAAGCTTGCCTGTTGCCGACGCCGCCGCTCCAGCCGAGCCGCGGGCAGAAGACTGGACCGCTGAGCCCCGGGCCGCGGCGGCGGCTGAGCGCCCCCCCCGGATGCCGTGACCCCCTGCCCGGGGGCGGGGGCCGGGGCAGGACCGGCCGGGGCCGCTCCCGCGCTCCTCCTCCCACCCCTCTGCCCGCCTTCTCCCCCTCTCCCCGCCCCCCGGCCCCGAACCCCGCGCACCTCGTCTGGGGACGGGGCGGGGGGGGGGCAGGGCCGCCGTTCCTCCCCGCCCCCTCCTCCTCGGGCCTCTGGAGCGATTTGTCAAACTTCCCATTCCGCCGGCAGCGCGATCCTCCTCCTCCTCCTCCTCCTCCTCCACCACCTCCTCCTCCTCTGCCTCCTCCTCCCCCCCGCGCTCCTCCCTCCCCGCGCCTCCCTCGCCCGCCCTCCTTCTTCCCTCCGCACGTTCGGGGATCGCGGCGGAGCGCGGAGAGGGGGGGACGCGGAGAGCCGGGGCGCAGCAGCATCCTGCGGGCGGCCGCTCTCCGGGGGGGAGGCTGAGAGCCGGCCCGCCTCGCCCCCCCCGCGGGCCCGCCGCCCCTCCCTCCCTCTCCTCAGCCCGGCAGCGGCGGCGGCGGCGGCGGCGGCAGTGGCAGTCGCCGGAGGAGCATCATGCCGAGGAGGAAGCAGCAGGCGCCCCGGCGCGCAGCAGGTACGAGCCGCTTCCCCTTCCTCCTCCTCTCCTCCTCCTCCTCTTCCTCCTCTCGCCGCGGTGCGCCTCCGGCCGGCGGCCACCCCGCTCTTCGCCCCACTCCTCGCCTCTCTCCTTCTGCCCGCGCAGAGTAACTCCGGGGCGCCAGGCTCGCTCGCTGCTCTGCTCTCTGGGTGCGTGCGCCCGCCTCGCGTCCCGGGCGCCCCCCGGACGCCCCGCCGCGCTCGCCCTGCTCCGGTTCGCACCCACTTCGGGAGCCGCGCGCGCTCGGGGCCAACTGAGCCGGGCTGGGTCCCTGCCTCTTCAGCTCCCCGGCTGCGGAGGGGATGGGAAGGAGCCCTTTTCGGTCTCTTTCTGTGGGGGGCGGGCGGGGTCACCTGAGTTCCCTGGGACACCTTCCGTGTCCTCCCGCGGCCGGCCGGCGGGGGACAGCCCCGGTGTCTGCCGAGCGAAAGAGAGCCAGCGAGTGAGCGAGCGGGTCCCTTCGGCCACCTTAACTGCTAATCCGATTGATTCTTCATTTATTGGGCCCAACGCGGGCAAGCGGTGGAAGCCAGAGCGCACAGGGTCTGGGTATTGTCAGATGACTGTCAAGTCAATGTTAGATGCTGGCGTTCTCTCTATCCGTGTTTGTTTTCCCTTACCCCCCACCCCCTCCTTCCACTGCTTCTCCCACCCTCATCTCCTCCTAGCACTTAGTTCTGGGACGTGTCTATGTACTCCCCCCTCCCCCCCCCCTTTTTTTTTGCCAGGAGTGTCAACTCCTGTTAAGACTGAGTCGATTTTTTTTCTCTTTTCTGGAAAAAGCATCATTGAAAACAAAACAAAACCCACACACATAACATTATTTTGCAATAATGTCAGTTGGGGGCATGTTGCCTGGAAGAAGGGTTTCTGGCCCTTTGCCACCCTTGATTTGATGACTGATTGATCGCCCGTCATGCTGCTGCCTTTGATCTATTCATTCCCAATAAACATCAATAAATCACTCGCAGTGGTGAGGCCAAGCTCTGTGACGTCACTAGGGCCCTGTCCGTGCAACTTCGGGATTTTGGGACGGATTGCTGAGAGGACCACATATGGACGGGATGTATTTTGATATGAGTAACACTCAGATGTGCAGAGGTTCAGATGCTGCCTGAACGGGAGCGTTAAGTGGAGGTTCATTTCTTTTCTTTTCTGTTCTTCTCTTTTGGTGGAAGAAGGGAGAGCAGAGGGAAGGGTCAGGGCATTGCCTGGCGCCCTTCTTGGATGAGGGCATTGTGCCCATGCTGCCCCTGAGTGCCTGTGGCAGCCCTGGGGGTGACGGTGATGGTCATTTCCATCATGTGAGCGGGCAGTGCCCATGGAGCTCACACATTGGCTGCACTCTGAACCAGAGTCTTCTTACACAGGGTCACACAGAGGGAACACTCTTCTTTCTTCTTCCAGAAAATGTACTTTCTTGTTCATGTCTTAAGAAAATCCTCGAAGAAAACGGACGTGGTTTGGGGGCATATAATGCAGGTTTTGCTCTCTGTCCTCAGTGTTGCCCAAATTTAGGAAGTTTGAAAATCCCAGCGGTGGTTCTAGGGAGGGTGCTGCCACTCAGGTCACCTCCTGGCTGATGCTTCTTGCCCATCCCACTTTCTCCTTTAAATTCCAAGCTCAAGCAATGAGCTTATCTACCCAAAATAAACTCTAAAAGTTTGGAGGACTCCTTCACAAAGTTGGGCAGTAGGAGTGTCTTGGGCTTCTTCCAGTCTTTTAAATTTTTTCTTTCCTTTTTGGATGCACATTTTAAGGTATCTGTGTGCCTCAATCAAATGAACCATATGTGATTACATCTTTACATTTAGTTTAGAACTCTCTCTACGGTTGCTTCATCTTTTCTCCTCCACCTTGCCAATCTGAGACTCTTACAGGATAACTTTCTGCTAAAAATATTAGCGAAGGGGGAAATGTACTGTTGATTTTATTTATTTATTTATTTTTAAAGCAACCTGTTCACTAACCTTCTTGCACCTTTTAAAAAGCCAGCCAGGAAATATCAGGTCAGTTAAGAAATATTCATTATATAAAAACTTGACTGCCCGGCTAATAGGAGATGGAAGAATGGTTTTGCTCTATCAAAATGACCCGTCAAAACGACTTTGTTTCATATTTGATTTAATTGTCTCTCTCCTGACAGGCACATTCATCAATAGCTTAATGGTCAATCAGAAGTTGGCAGCGTGAGTGCTTTCTTTCTTTCCCATACCCGGGTTTTGGATTTACTTTATCAGAATGCCTCTGCCTAATGGACGTGTGGAGGAGGGGGTGGAGAATGTCTGAAGGGCTACTTATTTAAGAAGAGGGGAGGGATAAAAAAAAAAAAGGAAGAAAAAAAAAAGAACCCTCCACATTTAGGCCGGTGCTAAGTATTCCCAGGCCAGCAAGTGAGCTGCCTGAGGTTTTTGTTTGTTGGTTGGTTTGGGTGCACGAGAAACTTCCCATTTTTTTCCCTCCTGTTTTTAGTTCTCACAGCTGCAAGTTATAAGGTTCATGCCTGCTTTTGTGGCATCCTGGGAGTGATGACAAATTGATTGCTTTGCACTGATAGAGAGTGGGAAAAAGAAAGATGTCTGCTGATTGGTAACTGGAAATCCAGTCCCCAGCAACCTTGAGAATACTCGAGAATTTTTTTTCCCCTCCAAACTGAAAGGTCCGCTCAGCCATAAAAAAAGAAAAGTTGTTTTGCCAGCTTCATTAGTGTTCACCTAATTAGCTGTAAACCTGATGGATTCCTGACAGCTTTAATGATTGGAGATGACAAGCTCGACGCAGTGTCATCCAGCAGAATTAGGTTTGCAGCTAGTTTGATGTAATCAAGTTGATATTACACAGTCCTGGCTGCCTTTAGTTGTGCATTAACTCAATTTTCTGCTGCAGGTGACAAATGGGCTTTGGTACCTGGATAATCATGTCATAGGAATTAGGGCCCTTTTAATGGTCTGGGGTAGAATAACAACCACAAAGGGCTGAGAGCTGGGTAGAGCTTGCAGACATAGCAGACAGGTGCACATAGTCTTCATATCTAGGCCAAATGTAACATTGCTCTCCAGAAGGCCAGAGCAGCCTCCAAGAATCCCTGAAAAGACGTATTTCTGTACTTTAGGATTTTCTTTCTTTTTTTTTTTTTTGATAGAAATTATGCATGGCTTCGTGTCTGTTCTCAAAGGGAGAGAGACGTTTCTTCACCTGCCGAAGAGAAACCTGGGCAGGAGTGTCCTTTCTCCAGGCGTGTCATTTCAAAGGGCCATACATTCGTGCTGGCCAGATGTTGCTGCCTCAGAGTAAGAGGGTTGGAGAGGCCAGTGTCCTTCAGGCAAGATGACCATTGTCCCTTGCTCAAAACGGGACTCTTACCTGGGCGTGATTTTTTTTTTTTTTTAAACGAGTGTTTTTTGAAGATACCAGAAAAAAAAAAATGAGAGCAGTATTTCATAACAAATAACATTTTATCCATTCATATCCATTTTCTGGGGGGGAGGGAACTGTACAGTCTTAAAAAAAAATTGCCTCAACTTGCAAAAAAAAAAATCCTCAGTGAACAACTTGCTATTGACCTTTCGAGTCTTACTCGTTGAAAGAGAATAATCTTCTAAGGAGTTCTTGGGTGGTCACATCAAGAGGGGGAACCTTTAAGCATCTTGATTTTTGTAAAAGTGGTTTGAATCCCTTAGGTTCTGCTGGTGTTCCAGATCACTGTGGGGCCCTGGGGGGCAGGATGGGCTTGCAGTGGCAAAGCAGAGGGGGTTCGCAGTGCCAGTGGGTTTGGGTATGCCTAAAACGTAGTGCGCCTGGTGCTGCCCATGTACTGTGGTCCGGGCCTTCGTAAGGCCCGTCCACACACTGGGCAGCTCCTCTCCTCTGTCGGAGGCACGTGAAGCATTCAGGAGGGCGTTTCGGCAGTAGCCCTGGGAACATATTCGCTCTCAAGCTTGCCGCACATTTCTCCTTTGGACAGGTATTCTGCCCTGTAGCAAGGTGACAAGATGACTGGTTCGGGCTGCTCTGTGATCCGCCCCCCCGCCCCCCATTTTCCTACAAAATGTGGAGGAACAATGCACATTTTAAAAAGGAAAATCAAGAAGATGAAGGAGAGAAACAAAGAGGGCAGGAGGCAAGGGTATCCCCCTGGACATCCACCTAGGGAAGAGAATCTTCCAGAATCAGCTGCTGTGCCCCCATTATCTTGACAACTGTCAGTTAGGGCTTCAGTGCTCTCCAGGGCCACACTTGATTGTGAGCGGTGGATGTTGTCATTTTGTTCTCAGCGTTGCCTTGAGCGCGCTCATAAGCGAGCGATAGTCAATAACTGACGTATCAGCAGCTCTTCCCCAAATTGTCTCACCCGTCTGCCTTTTCCCTCTTTTTACCAAAGATTGTTCTGTAAAGCGATCAGAATAAAAGGTGACTGCTCAGGGCCCTGGGGACGCCGGGGGAAGCCCAGGTGAGGTCCCAGAATTAAAGCCCTTACTTCCTCCCCTCCCCACTTCTACTCCTGGGGTTTCTGGAAGGAGAAGGATCACCTTCTTGAGGGCAAAGTGACTCCACCATGTTGGGGGCTTCTCCTTTCACACCGGTGGTGGCCGAGCCAGGCTGAGGCGAGGGCTGCAGTCATAGGCAGGGGAGCAGAAGGGACAGGAGCGGAATCCCCATCCTGGTGTACAACACCCATGTTAATCCACGGACGTGAGCAGGTCACAGTTATTCTGAGTGCAGTTTGTGAGGCTTTCCTGCTGGCCCATTTTTATTCCTGCCTGTCACTGGACAAACTATAAAAATAGCTTTAGTCTGGTAGTTAAAAAAAAAAAAAAAAAGAAAAGAGAAAGAAAAAAGAAAAAAAAAAGAAGTAGGGTGTGTGTCCCCCCTTCTATGTTAGTGTGCAGCCCAGTTAGGTAGATGGGCCTTTCTTTCAAAGAAGCTGTCTCGTAACACCCCTGTAGCGTTTTCCCACAGCCCATGGAGGGAAACAG